CAATTAAGGTTAAATGAGGTCAGAAGGGTGTGGCCCTGGTCCCCTAGAATTAGCATGCCCTCAGAGTCCCTGGAGAGCTCACTTGCTCATGTCAAGGAGAGGCCACGTGAGGATGCAGTGAGAAGGGGGCTGTCTGCAGGCCAGGAGGCGGGCCCTCGCCAGGAACCAACCCTGCCAGAACTGAGCTCAGACTTCCAGCCTCCAGAACTGTGAGACATTCATTCTGTAGCTTAAGCTGCCTGGCCTGTGTTTTGTTGTGGCAGCCCAAACAGACTAGTAAAATAGCTCTTCTTCACAAATAGAACGTTTCTAGAATTTTCCAGAACTTGGCAGGAGTTGGAGGGAACTGCCTGTATGCAGTATATCCTCGTGTACCCGCTCATTTTTGTATCCCCGGTGATGGTTTAACGCGTCTACAGGTTCTGATGTTCCTCCTTCAAGGCACAGAGCCTAATTCTCCTCCCGAATAAGGTGTGGAGCAGGAGATGGCCTGAGAGTCCTGAGTAGGTCATAAAAGGCACAGAGGCTCTTCCCTGCCTGCTCTCGGGCCGCTGTGTAGTAGAGAGGCTCAAGCAGCGTCTGGGAGGCCCACGTGGGGAGGAGCCACGTGAGGGGGCCTCCTGGAAGCCCCGACTCCCCACCCCACCCCGGTGCCACCCTTCATCATGCAGCCGATGCCACTACTGCAACCTCATGAGGGACCCTCAGCCAAGAACCCCCCAGACAGATCACTCCCAAATTCTCACTGAGAGATAATGAATGTTTGTCTTGAGCCACTAGGTCAAGGGTAACTTTTTAAGGCAGCGATCGATAAAAACCCCGTGCAGGTATTATCCACTAAACATCTGAAGTAATCAAACCATGTCTGCCAGCCGCTGGGCAACTGCAGATTTGCAGTTTTGGAGTTGAAAGGCTCCCCGGGTCATCTGGGGCCCCTGGGCCTGCAGTCAACATAACCAAGCCCCAGCATGAGCACGTGCAGGCCAGCAGGTTTCAGGGTGAGGTTTAATGCCATGTGTGTTCACACACCAAAGTTATTTCCACCAGCGTAGGAAACCTAACTCGCGCCGTGTATTTCCTCGAGGTCAATCCCAAGAGCCTGGGCCGTTCCAGATGCAGATGGAAGGGGGCAGCACCACCAGACACCTGGAGGGGGAATGAAGCAGGGTGAGCAGCGGTTGCTGAGCGCCCAGTAAGAGCACTGACGCCGCCGACAGGCTCCAACACCAGATCTGGCTGTGCCACTTAGGAGTCTGTGAAATGGGGATGCGCGTGCACTCTGGGCTGTCGGGTGGGCAGCACAGCGCCGGGCTCGTCAGTGCTCACAGCAGCCCGCCCAGGGAGGCCAGCCTCCACTTTCCTGTCTGTAAAATGGGGCATCCCTCCGCCCCACCCAGGGTGCAGGCTCAGCCTCCAGGACTGAGCCCCGAGGGGCAGCGCCCCACTCCCCAGCCCCACAAACCGAGGTTGCTGGCTGGCAGCTCTGCGCCACCAGGCAGGAGGCTAGTGCAGGGCTCCGCCCTCAGGCAGGGTTCTCCAGGTGCCCCCAACACCTGCCGGCCCAGCCCTGGACCTGCGGGGAACACTGCTCCTCTGCTGCTCAGGAATCCCGGGCTACACCAGCCGACAGCTGCTGAAACTTACCGGAGGGGTCCGAGGGGGATGGGTTTAATTAATCGTCCTTCTTGAACTTGCCGTTGATGTAGGGCACCCAGTCCAGAATCAGCCGCCAGTCAGTGGCCCACACCAGCCCCATGGCTCCCACGGTGCCCCACATGCCCACTGTGGGTAACCTGCAAGAACGGGGGTCAGGCCTCACCCTCCCGGTAGTGTGGCCGGATCCCCCCCATCCCAAGCTGCCATTTATCAGGTGCCCACACCACCCCCACGCACCTGGCCCTGCCCAGCTTTGTGGACACATCCTGCTGATGACCCCGAGGGCAGGCACCAGGCAGGTGACCCTAAGGCAACTCCATTCCCATCTGCTTTCATATTAGGATATGCATGAGGGTTTTTTTAGTAAATTTATTTATTTATTTTTGGCTGCACTGGGTCTTCGTTGCTGCACATGGGCTTCCTCCAGTTGCGGTGCACGGGCTTCTCATTGCGGTGGCTTCTCGTTGCGGAGCACGGGCTGTGAGCGTGCGGGCTTCAGCAGTTGTATCACGTGGGCTCGGTAGTTGTAGCTCGCGGGCTCTAGAGCGCAGGCCCAGTAGTTGTGGCACACGGGCTTCGTTGCTCCGTGGCATGTGGGATCTTCCCGGACCAGGGCTCGAACCCGTGGTACCCTGCACTGGGAGGCAGACTCTTAACCACTGCGCCACCAGGGAAGTCCCTGATTAAGGTTTTATTTGAGGAATTCCACTAAAAAAAAAAAAAAAAAAAAAAAAAAAAAGCCCAAGCTTGTAAAGCATAAGGATATCTAAACTTTGCAGGTAGGCACGTTAATGTGGTTTGCAGCAGCTCGATCCCTGAGACAGCCGATGGACTGAGGGAGGTGTGAGTTATCAGGGTCCCTGTCTCACAGATGAGACCAAGGCACAGAGAGGGCAAGCCATGCCCCCGAGACACACAGCCCACCGGGTGCAGAGCCGAGGCAGGGACTCCAAGACCACCACACTCCACATTTACGTCCATTGATGGGCAGGGTCCAGGACGGCCCCAATAGTCCCACCTCCTGGTGTTCACACCCCTGTACAGCCCCTCCCCTTGAGGTCGGCAGGATCCAGTCACTCGCCTCTGATGAATCAAATATGAGAGATGATGGGCTGTCACTTCTTTCGTTTTGGTTTGGTTTTCTTTGGCCGCACCACACGGCTTACGGGATCTTAGTTACCCGACCAGGGATTGAACCCAGGCCCCGGAAGTGAAGGCGCCGAGTCCTAACCACTGGACCACGAGGGAATGTCACTTCTGAGATGGACTTTTAGAGACTGGCTCCGTCAGGGCGTGCTCGTTTGCTCTTACCCTCTCTGCGGGGAGCCAGCTGCTAGTTTGTGAGCTGCCCTGTAGAGGGGCCCCTGTGGCAGAGGATTGAGGGTGGCCCCCTGCTGCAACCACAGGTGTGACCTGGAAACACATCCTCCAGTAAAGCCTTCAGATGAGACACTGAGCAGGGGACTCAGCTGTGTTCCAATTCCTGACCCACAGTAACTGATAATGAATGTCTGCAAAGCTGCTGCATTTGGTGGGCTCTTTGTTATGCAGCGACAGAGAACTCTCACAGGCTCCATCGCTGGTCTGTGTAGAGGCAGAATTTGTGCATGGGTGCCCACTTCACCGGATCGCCATAACCTATGGGCCTGGGGTGTTGGGGTGGAGAGATGGAAGCAGCAACACCCCCTCCCCAACCTGCCTCACCAACGACACCCCCTGCTCCCTGGGGAGACCCTGGGGAGAGGCCCGTACAACTCAACTTTGCGCCTTGGTGGGGTCCCGGGTTATTGCTGCTTTTGGAACAGGCTCTGGGGCAGGTGTCACGAACAGAGAGGGAATCTTTCCTCTCACTGCCCAACAGCTTTGAGGGGTGTTGAGGTCAGAGGAGCCTGCCCTCAGGGAGGCCTCCACCGCCCGCGCCCCCCCCCCCCCCGCCCTGCAATCATCCTGACCACTCCCCTTGGGGCCCGGTGGAGCTCACAGAGAGGGAGGTGGCCACACACCTGACCTCCACAGGGCACCGAAGGTGATGATGCTGCTGACAGTCCCTCGTGGGACTTCGTTACACCTTCACCACCTCTCCTCCCCCTCCTCACAGGAAGACGCCCGGAGGAGCTGAGTGCAGAGTACCCAGCTGGTGAGCGCGGATGCCCCGAGACTGAAACCCCACAACTCCATAGTGTCTCCTGGGGGAGAGTCCCGCTTCCTGGCCTCAGGAAGCCAGTGTGGGTGGGACAGGACTGCACCCACCCCCTTTATTACTTTACATCAACCTCATGCCACGTATCACATCGGTTTAATTTTTTTCTGGTCCACGACCTAGAGCGTCAGCCAGGAAAGTTCCGTTTATCGCTGTGTCTCCGGCACCCGGCTCAGTGGTAGGTGCGAGCACACATCAGTTGCTCAGTGGGTGCTGCTGCCGACTGAACGAAACCCTGGATGAGGGGGTCGCTGCTCTGACCACGCGAAGATGGGGACGGACCGACAGCGCCCGGAGGCTCGAGCCGCCCGCGGTAGGGGGTGCAGGGGCCGCTGGCGGTCCCACCCGACGCCAGGGACGGACTTTCGTCCTGAGCCTGGGTCGCCCCAGCTGTAAAGCGCCACTGTCACTGTCCACCCGAAGGTCCCTGCCGGGGCTCAGGGACACGACTGCGGAGTACAGGCCCGCTGTTTCTCAGCGCCTCACGTCGTGTGCTCCCCAATCCCGGCTGCCACGTGGGGTCACCCCCATCCCATCCGCCTCCCACGGGGGTCAGTCAAGGACAGGCGCAGCCCTCGGCTTCACAACAACGTCAAACAAAAGCAAAGCCAGGAGCGCACAGGGTCAGTTTCCAGCCCCAGGAGCTGAGCCGGGGATGCTGGGCGCGGTCTAGGTGGGCACCATCGCGGCCCCCAGGCAAAGCGCCTCAGGATCGGGGGCCAGCCACTCGCGGGGCAGACCGCCGCGCCGCTCTGTGCCTCAGTTTCCCCATTTGGGACCTGGGAAGACAAGGGGTCCGGGGGCGGTAGCCGCATCCTCACCAGTTTCTGGCCAGCTGGCGGTAGCGCGGGCCCACGAACCGTTCCAACATAGCGGCGCCGTCTCAGCTCAGGGTGACCCTGGCCCCGCCGGCTCGGGCGCACTGCGCAGGCGCGGCCCCCGCAGCGCGCAGGCCCGCAGGGAGGCCCCGCCCCGCCCTGCCCGGCCCAGCCCAGCCCAGGCGGGCTGACCGCGCGAGATCCGGGGACCGCCGCCGCTGCGCGCGCAGACTCGGAAAATATTTGCATTCACTTCCGGGGAGGGTCTGAAGAACGCAGACTAGAGTGGGCGGGCCCGGGAGGCGGGGCTTTCTGACCATGTGACGTGAGTACGCGGGGTCTGCCTCTCCGCTCCGGCGGTCAGAGTGGCCCTAAGCTGCGCAACGTCCAGCGACTGTGGCCCGCGACATATGACTGGTGAGTTTGTGTCCTTATTACGTGCCAGAACTTTATTTACAGTTAAAGAAACAGGCCAAACAGGGAAGGGTTAAGCCCAGAGTCGCACAGAGGGGAAGGGTGGGATTTGAACTCCCTTTTGGAGGAATTAGGCGTTGTCACTGGACTCGCTGTGTGTGGGACCTTGGCCAGATGACAGCGCTTCCCCGAGCCTCGGTTTGCTGGCATTTTGTTGTCTGTTGCTCAGAGGCTCGGCGGCAAATTGTTTGCACGTTTCGATTGGGAGTGATTCCTCATTCCGGCAGCAGAGGGAGGCCTGGTTCCTCGCGCTGTCAACATTCAGGATGCCACCTGTTAGCTGATGGACCCAGGACAGGTGTGTTCTCCTCCCTCGGCTTTCCGCCGCCCCAGGCTCGCTCGGGCTCGCCTTCTCCTTTCACCGCCTCCGGGGTCCCAGCGTCGAATGCAGGCTGGGAGATGCGGACTGGACACCGTGGGGTTTGTCTGCCCAGCCCAGCCCATCCTGCTGGGATCGGCCCCTCGGCACCCTCCAAGACTGCAGTTCCCAGAGGGCTGCAGGTTCTCACCTAGCCCTGGCTTCCGACCATGGGGTTGGTTGGAGACCATGGTCTGGGCAGGAGGGGTGCTCGTTGCTATTGAGTTGGACATTGTTTCTCCGCCTTTCCAGTTGCCCTGGGATTTTTGAGCTTGGGATCAGAGAGGACCTGAATTAAGTCTCTGTCCTCGATGGAAACTTAAAAAGTGGGATGTAGGGGCCACCTACATTGTAGGTGAGAGATTGTAGAATCTGAGACAGAGATTAGAAATCATGAGACAGAGAACAGACCTGCGTGAAAACATGAGCAGAGGTGGGCATAGAGGCCTTGGGGCTGCAGGTCCTGGATCCAGCAGTTTCTGAAGCTCTGCCGCATTGTTCCTTCTGCTTAATGCACTTCAGCTCACGAGGCAGAATGCTTTTCATTTCAAGTGATAAACGAAGAACAAAAACTGGCTTAAGAGAACAGAAGGAAGTTCTGTGGCATGTTAGATGGCTTCAGGCACAGCTGCATCCAGGAGTCTAGCAATATCATTATGAATCTTCTCTCTATCTCTCAGCTCTTCTTTCCTCTGTGTTGCCCTTACTCTGTGGTGAACTCTGAGCAGAGGCACCCAGAAACTCTTGGTTGACATTACAGCAACCCTTGCAGGAAGAGGGCACCTCTTTCCCAATAATCACAGAAAATGCCCCTAAGCTGGTTCTCATTCGCGTGCTGTGGAAACAGGGCAGAGTTGGCCCCTCTCATTTGAGGATGTGGGCTGAAATTGGAGGAGAATCCCCAAAAGAGAATACCAGGATTCTGTGACCAGAAGAGATGGTGGATAAGCAAGAACGGTTGGCCCCCCTCGCACCCTGCTGGCCCTCTGCCCTGGCCTCCTGGGTTCCATGCAGGATCCCTATCTGGCCCTCAGGAAACGGAACGACTTTTCTTGTTTTCATCAATGTGAAATTCACATAACATACAATTAACCATTGTAAAGTGTAGAATTCAGTGGTCTTTAGTACATTCCCAAGGTTGTGCGACCACCACCTCCATCTAATTCCAGAACATTCCATCACCCCAATAGAAGCCCCGTCCTCATCAGCAGTCACCCCACCCCCCACCCCCTTCCCAGCCCTTGACAACCAGGAATTCAACTCTCTGTCTATGCATCTGCTTGTTCTGGACGTTTCCTATCAATGGAATCACACGCTGTGTGTCCTTCTGTGTCTGGCTTCTCTCACTGAGCATCGTGTTCTCAAGGTCCATCCACACTGTAGCGAGTGTCAGGGCTTCACCCCTTTTCATGGCTGAGTGATGTTCCCCTGTGTGGAGGGACCACATGGTGTTTATCCGTTCATCTGCTGGATTCTTTTCTTTTACAATTTTTACAACTTTACTGATGTATACTTGACCTACAAAAATGCACGTATTTAAAACATACAACTTGGTATTTCGACATATGTGCACACCCATGAAACCATCACGCTGTGGAGATAATGAACACCTCCCCCTCGTCCCCTGGAAGTTTCCTCCTGCCCCTTTGGGACCCCACCCACTCCCCCCTCCAGCCCCTACAACCACGCTACTGTGAATTAGTCTGCATTTTCTAGACTTTTCTACCGAGAATCATAGAGTATGTTCTCTTTGGTGTCTGGCTTTGTCCACGCAGCGTAGCTATTTTGAATCATCCAAGCCATTGTTTCTGTCAGAGTTTCATTCTTTCTACTGCTGAGTCGTGGACCATGGAGTGGGTGGACCCTTGTGTTTACCCACTGACCTGTTGAAGGACATTTGGGTGGTTTCCACGTTTTGGCGATGGGAAAGGAATCTGCAATGAGCAGTTGCATCCAGGTCTTTGTGTGGACGTGTGTCTTTGTGTCTCTTGGGTGGATGACTGGGGTGGACTGGCTGCTGGCTGACTTGTAGGGGAGGCTTATGTTTAACTGTAGAAGAAACTGCCAAACGCTTTTATTATTGTTGAGGTGTAATTGATGTGTAACATGTTAGTTTCAGGTGCACCGCCAAAGTCTTTTCCAAAGTCCTTGTATCCGTTTGTGTTCCCACCAGCGAGGTATGAAGAGTCCCTGTTGCGTTTGGATGTTTTGCCGTTTTAAAAAAGGGCACAGATGCTATTAATTTCCCGTGGCTGCGTGACAAATGACCACAAGCTGGGTGGCTTAAAGCAACAGGGGTTTATCCTCTTCCAGTTCTGGAGACCATATGTCTGAGGTCAAGGTGTCACAGGGCTGTGGTCCCTCCGGAGGCTCCAAGGGAGGGTCCTTTCTGCCTCTTCCAGCTTCTGGCCCCTGCCACCCCGCCCCCACCACACCCCGGCATCCCTTGGCTTATGGCTGCATCCCTCCAGCCTGTTGTCACGTGGCTTCTTCGTCTGTGTCTCTTGTCTTCTGTCTCTTATAAGGACACTTGTCATTGATTTGGCGGTCACCCTAATACAGGATGATCTTGAGATCCTTAACTTGATTACATCTGCAAAGACCCTTTTTCAAAATAGGGTGCCCTTCACAGGTCAGGACGTGGGCCTTTCTTTTGTGGTTCCCATCACCCTGCTGCAGCCCGGCGCCATCTGTCTCAGTCAGGCATGTCCCCTTCCCTCCCTGGCCTGTGGGTGTCAGGGCTGTTCCAGGACGGGGCTCTGCGCGTTCTCTGTCAGCCCTGGAGGGCCCGGTGGGCATCCAGCAGATGGGGAGCCGCAGGCTTTGAAAGGCTTGGACTCAGGAACACACCTGCGACATCACTGGCACTGTCAAGTCACACACAGATCCACCGCCCCAGTTTCCCTGTGCTCAACCCCCTGCCACCAGATTTCTCTGACCTGAGTCAAGCAGATGCTCCTTCAAGAAGTTTTCATGGAGCCAACCCCTGCTGGGACAGAGAGGCGACGCCTCCCCGGATAAGGATTTTGGCACCTTTAAGATATTTTTAGACACCTGTACACCTGTATTGAGATATCATCCACACACCATACAGTTCACCCATTCAACGTGCATCAGTCATTCAGTGGGTTTTACATTATTTATTTTAAAATATTTATTTTTTTATTTATTTTAATTAATTAATTTATTTGGCCGCGCCAGGTCTTAGTTGAGGCATGCGGGATCTAGTTCGCTAACCAGGGATAGAACCTGGGCCCCCTGCATTGGGATCCAATAAAGATGTTAAAATAAATACATACGTACTAACTCAGGGAGTGGCCTTCCGCCAGGAGCCAGTCAGCTTCCACATCCCGGGAGCCCTTATTCCAAGTGCAGGTCCCTGGCTTTGCCTGAGGAACTTTGCTTCTAGAACAAGGAATCACCGTGGCCACCTTTCCCAGTGTCTGCGGCCTTGCTCACCACCACCCCATCAAACCCCGGTTGAGGGCTGAACTGTGTCCTCCCAAGAGGACATGTTCAAGTCTTGACTGCCCCCCACCCCTGCTACAGCCTGTGAACGGGACCTTATTTGGAAATAAGGTCTTTGCAGATGTGATTGGTTAAGATGACGTCATGCTAGAGATTGTGCGGCCCTAAGGCAATGACAGGTGTGTGTGTAGGAGGGACACCTGGACACAAGACACACAGGGAGAGGCCACCTGAAGATGGAGGTGGAGATCAGGGTGATGCGGCTGCAAACCGAGGCACACCTGAGGCCCCCAGAAGCTGGAAGAGGCAGGAAGGACTCTCCTGGGGGGGTGGTGGTCAGGAGGGAACGCGGCCCTACCACCCCTGGACCTGGGACATTTGGCCTGCAGAATGTGTGAGAACAGATTCCTGTGGTTTCCAAGCCCCCTGCCCGCCCGCCGAGCTGTTTTAGCTGTCCAGATGTGCAGTGCGGTAAGTCCACAACACCCCGGGCCATCCTTGGTGGGATGTACTCAGGCCACCTAGTGAGCCCCTACGCCGACACCGACACCGGGGGCACCACCTTCCCAACCCCTCTTTTCATCTGTAAGCACACAGCAGCTGAAAGATCCAGGGACAGGCAGAGTATTGTCATAAAATGTCACATTTATTGCTACAGTGCTGTTATGTACAGGTCTCCAAATCGACTTTAGAGGATCGTTATTAAAAATCCCAAAGAATTCAGCCAGCTGTGTTGACACATATAAAATTATTCTACTTAAAAAACTTTTTGTTGTTTTTAAAAAAATCAGTTATCCTGAGGCACTCAGAGCACAGTTTTCCCTGTAATTGTGGTTCTTCCCCTCCCCCAAGGCTACTTTTTCCTGTGCTGGGTTAATCTCATTATATATATATAAAATATATAAAACTTAAATTATATATGTAATACACAGTTCAAAAGTTTGTGGGCCTCGGGGGGGCCGCAGAGGCTTCTCAGCCCCTGCCTATCTGGGTCTGTGGGTTAGGCCCGAGGCAGAGGGAAACTGAGGCAGGTTCCCCAAAGAGAGACAAGACCCACAGACCAGGGGAGTCACCAAGGAGAGTCCCCTGATCGGTCTTAGGGGCAGACCCCAGGGGATACCAGGGACCTGGAGGTGGCCCCGGCCCCAAGCTGGGATGTCCCGCTCGTGCTGGCCTTGGGGTTCCCTCAAGCTTCCCGTGGGGCACCCGGCCCCCAGCCGTGGGGAATTCCAGTCTTGAGGAGTCAGGCCGCCCCAGTGCTCGGGGAGTGAGGGGGTTTTGGGGGAGACACCTGGGATGCTGGTAGGGTGGGGTGCACGCAGCCAGCCTGGGGGTACGTAAGGCCTCTCTGCAGGGGGTAGAGGGAGGGCAGGTGAGACCCCAGCAGGCCTGACCCCACACCCAGGTGACACGTAAGGTGACCAACCGCCCTGGATTTTGTTTAAACCTGGGACAGCCCAGGCCTAGTGGGTTCCCCTGAATACACAGGAGAGAGGGCTACTTGGGGAGGCCTGGGAGCTGGCGCCCAGGGCCTGAGAGCTCAGCCTCCTGGTTTGCAGTGGGGCGTCAACCCTGACAGACACACGGCCTGGGGGCCTTTCTGGGCAGGGGGATCCTGTAACTTCCCCAGTCCACACCAGGAAGGCCACTCGGGGAGCAGGGGGTTTCTGTGCCAGAGTTCAGAGAATGAAGAACGGGGTGTTTAGGGAGGCCCCCCAGCACCACGCTCAGCAACACAGGCCCCGGGCCCAGGAATGCTGGTCCTCACAAAGTCCCGTCTGAGAGAGGTCCCAGGACTTGGAGGGATGTGGGGCTGGCAGGCCGCAGGCAGGGGCCTGGGGGACCCGAGCTGCTTGCGGGCAGGAACCTCGGCTGTGTGACAGGGGAGCGTCCCTGCCTCCTTGGAAGTGCCCCAGCAGGGTGTCCCCCTTCCTGAGGGAGGGGAGCATATCTGGCAGGGGAGGCCCCCACCAAACAAGGGCCCACCTGCTACTTCGCAGGGAGCAAAACCACAAGAGCAAGCCCCCCACGCTAGAACCTGAACTGGACGGCACCTGCCACCCCTGGTCCAGTGGCTCCCGGGGCGGGGGCACCTCAAGTTTACACGGGGTCTTTTTAAAGTTTTTTGGCCACGCCACGTGGCATGAGGGATCTTAGCTCCCCGACCAGGGATTGAAGCCGTACCCCCTGCATTGGGAGCGTGGAGTCCTAACCACTGGACCACCAGGGAAGTCCTGGGGTCTTTTTAATACAACTTTTAATAACCTTGTTGATCATGAAATGCAATGCTCATTTCTAGAAACAGCAGCAAAAATAGCAAGACACACGAGACTTTTATACAAAAAAATTTGTTGCTTAGAAAACATACGCAAAAAAAGCTAAAAAAAAAAAAAGAGACCAAAGGCATCATTCTTACTAATTTTCTTCTACATTAAAAAAAAAAAAAAATCCCAAAACCAAATTTCCTTTTAATTTTCTTTTAAAAAAAAAAAAAAAAAAACTCTCATAACTAAGTTTCCTTTTATTTTCCTTTAAAAAAAAAAACAAAAACAAAAAACCTCTCAGGCGTAGGCACAAGTTGCTGGTTGGTGGCTGCCGACCAAACTGGCTCCGCACAGCATTTCCCTCCTGTGAACGGTATGTTTGAGTCTTCACGTTTTATACTTAAGGCATTCATTTTCTTGTCTGACAACATGTATATACCAAAAACAAAAACAATGCTCCTTGCCGCCCAGGCCTGGGCAGCAGGGCCGAGACGCAGTTTCAGGATCCATCAGGCCACAGGCCTGGCGGTGGTGTTGCCTCCGGAGCGCCCAGGGCGATGTTGGCTCAAGGCTGACCACGGGCTGCATGGGGTGGGGACCAGGCGCCTGGCGTGACTGTCCCAGGTTAGACCAAGGTGGGGTCACTCGTCTGGGCGGCGTTCCTGTCACATGTGCCCGGCAGGGTTGTGGGCCTCGCCCAGGCCTGGGTGGGCGGCCGACAGCACCATCTGGGCATCTCCGACCACGCTGGACACCTTCTCCTCTTCTCGGCGCTTCAAGCAGGCCGCTTTGGGGTTCAGGTTACGCTCTGGGGGGAGGGGGAGAGCACTGTGGGAGAGGGTCCCCGAGGGAGGAAGAACTGGGGGGGGGGGCCCGCACGGCTGCTCCATCTCTCGACCTGTCCCCGTCCCCGAGAAGGCCATTTGGGCCGGGGATCTACAGAGCAGGATGAGCGCCGGGGGGCGCCGGCGGCTCAGGTCCCCGGTGGGCGGGAGGGCGGGGCGGGGCTGGCCCGGGCGCCTACCTCGCACCTGCTGCTCCAGGCCCAGGATGACCTGCACGGCCTGCTGCAGGATGAGCAGCTTGGTCTGCGCCTTGTCCGACTTGAGGTGCAGCTGGCACATGCGCCCCAGCTCCCGGAAGGCCTCGTTAATGTCCCGCACGCGCACCCGCTCCCGCGCGTTATTGGCCATGCGCCTCTCCCGGTCCCTCAGGTCTTTCTCCTCCAGGGACAGCACCTCCTCCGTACTGCTGGGTCACAGCACCGGGGCCCCGTTAGTCCCGAGCGGGGGTCGTGGGGAGGGCACCCGCTGGCTGCGAGTGCGCATGCCGTGTGCCTGGCAGGAGGTGGGGCCTTGACCCCCACCCGCGCATGTGCATGGAGCTGGGCGCAGCCCTTGCCCCCGCCCGCTCGCCGTGCCCAGGACTGGCCAGGAAACAGGGAGGCCCCATGCCCCCCACCCTCAGGATGACGACCTTCCCCGTTCAGAGCAGCTGCTTGCTGGGTGAAGGAGAGCTAGGCCTGGGGCTCCCAGAGTTCAGGACACTGAGTCCACAGAAGCAAACCGGCTCACAGCCTGGAGACCCCTCTCATGCCTGGGCGCCACAGGACTGCACCTGCCCCACGTTGGACCCTGGCTGCCCGAGAGCTGGGCCTGGAGGACCCTGAGGCCTGGCACTTGTGCTGTAACCGCTGGGCGGCGGGCACAGTGTTGAGTCCCCCCAACGAGTCTGGAACAGGGGCTCAGAGAGCTGACCACGGGGTCCACACCCCAGCTCAGGCCCCCCAGGGGCGCAGCGTGGGGCTCTGCACGAGCAACCTCTCCATCTGCCTGTTTCCCTGGGAGCCCGTCCTGCCCGCCCACCCTGCCCTCGGGCCTGAGCGACCCCCGCGGGTGGCGGCGGCGGCCGGAGCTCAGGACAAGCGTGCAGACCAAACTGACAGACAGGCCTCGGGGCCCCTTTCTTCCCTCAAGTCCCGATGGGAGCCGTGAGGGAGGAAAGGCCCGGGTCGCAGCCCTGCCGTTTCAGCGCTCGGGCGCAAGTGCGAGGTAAGGAGGGCAGCCGGTGGGAGTGAGGAGGTGGGCGGCCAGGGTGGGGGAGCACGGGGGGCAGAGAGCAGAGAGGCGGGCGGACGCGGCGTGACGCCCATGCCGCCGTGGGGACGCGGAAACCCCAGAGCTCAGGGGACAGTGGGCGGCAGGCCAGGGCCCTAGCTCCGGTCCAAGCGACAGCGCTGCAGGAGAGAAAGGGTTAACGGGGCAGCGGGGGTGGGGTGGGGGTCGTTAAGGAATCAGCTGGAGGGAGTCACACAGCCTCCCTGACCCTCACTCAGCCTTGGGGATGGGGGGTGAACCCCACCTGCAGGTGGGGACCGATGGGCTCAGGCGCCCCACGAAGTGTCTGCTCAGAGCTAGAGCGACAGTGACGTTCTCTGGGAGCCAGGGGACACGAGTCCCTGCCAGCCGGGCTCTGGGCTTCCTCAGAAGGAAGGGCTGGGCAGGTGGAGTCTTTGGGGTCTGAGGAGACAGCTCTGTGCCAAAGTGCCCAGGGCTACAGGGCTAGGGATCGAGAGTCTGTTCCTCTCACTTGAGGGGACAATGGGATGGGACTTCCCTGGCGGTCCAGTGGTTAACACTTCCCCCGCTTCTACTGCAGGGGGTGCGGGTTCAATCCCTGGTTGGGGAACTAGGATCCCGCCTGCCAACGCAGCACGGCCAAAAAAACCCACTGGAGACGGCAATGGGGCCTGGCTAGGCAGAGGGCCCACGGTCAGGAGAAAGATGGTCACTGAGGAGGGAACGGCCACTGCAGAGGAGGATCGTCACTGGGGGGATAGTCACAGCAGGGAAATGGAAAACGGTCGCTGAAGGGGGGCTGGTCACTGTAGGAGGCGGAAAGTCAGCAGGAGGAGGTCACTGCAGGGGTGATGTCACTGCAGGGAAAAGGTCACAGGGCAAGGGAGGAAGGTCACAGCAGGGGATGTCACGCAGGGGAGGTGGGCTCCAAGAAGGGAGGAGGGGAGAGCGAGGGCAGCAGTGGGGGAGGGGAGCGGCGCCCCCACTGACCTCGCACCTGCTGCTCCAGGTTCAGGATGACCGACACGGCCTGGTGCAGGATGAGCAGTTTGGTCTGGGGCTTCTCACTGTTGAGGTGCAGCTGGCACATGCGCCCCAGCTCCTTAAAAGCCTCATTGATGTCTCGGACCCGCAGCCGCTCCCGCGCGTTATTGGCCACCCGGCGCTCCTTCTCCCGCTCAGCCTTCTGCTCTGGGGGGAGAAGGTCGTCCTCGTCCTCGTCCGGGCTACGGGGCCAGGGGCCAGAGGGAGACAGTGAGGCAGGGCCGGGCAAGGGCCTGCCGCGGCCTCGGGAGCCGGCGCCCCGAGGGGCCCCCGTGCGCATGCGCAGCCGGCGCCCTGAGGGGGCGCGCGTGCGCAGCCGGCCTGTGGGGGTGGGGGGGGCGGCACCTGGTCCGGGCGCGCGGGGCCTTGAGGTCCTTCTTCTCGTCCTCGGCGGTGTCGGCCGCCACGTTCTCTCCGTCCTCCTGCTCCTCCCGCTTGATGTCGCCAGGCCCTGGGGCGGCGCCGCGCCCGAGATCTGCAACGGGCCGGAGTCAGGGGCCTCCGTGCGCAACGGCAAGCCACCCAGAAGCCCACCGAGAGCGGGACACCGGCCTCACGCCACACGCGGGCACCCGTTCCAGACCCCACGGACCGAAAGGCCTTCAGAAGAAAGTGCGCCGAAATGTCGTGGCCACTCAGGGGCGGAAAACTGTTTCCTAAAACGCTAAGGAGCTGTCCTCAAAAGAAACAGAAATCGATAAACTTGAATATATCAAAATTGAGAACTTCTCATCACCAAGAAAATAAGCGGCTGCGCCACTGGACAGAAGACGCCGTCACGTACAAGCCAACAAAGGGCAGGTCCCCACGATCCCAAAGAACTGCTACAAGTCAGTGCGGACGTGATGCAGAAGCCCGAGGGGAGCAGGGAGGGCCCCCGGGAGCCTGCTATCTGCGTCATCGCTTCAGGAAATGCTGAAATGCTGCGGGTCTGAGTATCGCTTATGGGTGTGACCGCTTTGGAAAACACTTTTTCCGCCTTATCTGGAAAAGGCGGGCACGTGTGTGCCCAGCAACCCTCCAACCCAGAATCACACCCGCCACCAGGAGACACGCTCGGAAGATTCGGAAAAGTGCCCACGCGTGGGCCCAGGTTGGGGCGGGACCTAGTGTCCCGTGAGGCCAGGGCTGGTCCTTGCATGGCAGCTGAGCAGTCGGGTGGGAAAGCCACCCAGTAGAACAATGACCCACAAAACCCCCAGGCCACATAAAGAGACCCGTGGCCGCGGTACTGGCCTGGGCTCTCCCGCAGCTGAACCGCAGGACGCGGGCAGTGCTTAAAAGACCAGCTCGGGGGCTCCCTCAGAACTGCTGCCACCAGGCCAGGGCGTCCTGGGCCCTGTGGGGGCTGAGCGTCATCCCTGCCCCTGTAACAGCCAAAGATGTCCCCAGACACCACCCAGGTGTGCAATGACAAAATCTGGACACCCAGTCAAGAGTCAGGCTGGTTCTGGGGCTGCAGGGTCCTCAGGCGGGCCTGAGGGTTGTGTGGTGGGTTCAGGGGGGCCTTGCGGTCAAATGCGCGCAGCATGTGGCACAGCGCGTTTTTCACCAGGTCGATGGGGGCGGGGTGGGTGGAGTCCTGGATCCTCCCCAGGCCTGGGTCTCACCGGCTGTTGCAGGGTCAGCATTAACCGACCCCTGGGACGGAACCCTGTGACACCCAGGGCCCCAAACCCCAGTGGGCATGCGCAAGCCTGCCCGTTACCCCCTTCTATGGCTAACCTCGTGCCAAGTGACTTTGCCCCTCTCGCTACTGCTGATTTCTCTGCTTCCCCGGACAGTTAACAACCCAGAACTCCACCAACACCGCCCCACTTGCCCTGATGGGGCCCTCAACTCAGCATCCAACGTAGTGCACCCTCCTCCAGGCCCCTCAGTACCCGCCCCCCCTGATCTGTCCGGGACCCTGGCCCCGCCGCCTAAGACCCTGCCCCACCTGGGACCTGCCCAGGCTCCCACCATCAACTCCACTGTGTGCCAAGTACCCTGAGACCCCACCTACAGACCAGAACCGTACCTCCTCCTCCACGTCTGCAAATCCTTCAAAGCACCTGGAAATCGCCCACCACTGCACTGCCCCTCTTCGGCCCCTCACAGGCCAGTCCACAGCATCCACCCACACCATTCCTCCTGGACCAGCAGTCCCCTCTGCCCTGTTTCCCACTTCCAAGCCAAGCCCCCCACCCAGTCTGTCCTTCCAGCAGCAGCCACCAGAGGACGTCTATGAGCACCTGAGCAAGGCCCCGCCCCTCTTCTACCCACAGCCCTCCAGGGCCCTCACCTCCCTGGGGTAAAAGGCCAAGTCCTCCCCAAGACCCTGCACGACCTGCCCCATCCCCTACCCCGTCCCTTCCCGTCCCTGCCCTCCTCCCTCTCTCCCCCTCCCTCACTCTGCTCCAGACACACGGGCCTCCTTGCTGTTCCTCCAACACACAAGGCACAGCTCTGCCCCAGGGCCTTTGCACGCGTGCACCCACCCACCCACACACACACACACAACTTTCTCCCCAGCACTCATCCTGACATGCTTCCTTCACCTTCCAGTTTCCGCACAAGTCACCCTCTTTCTCTGCCTGATCTGTTTTGTTCCCTGGTGCCGAGAAAAGTGCCAGACACACGATGGACACTAAACATATGCCTTTCGGGACTCTCCCGATTGACCGGGTGAATAGAGAGAGAGGTAGCAACCCACCCCAGAAGCAGCAGGGCCCCTCCCAACCCCTGTGGGATCCTGGCACCAAGCCAGGTAGGGCTTTGGTGATGTGGCAGGGGGCATCTCCCCCTCTCCACACCAGTGCCCAGTTAGTTACCCTGGACCTCAAGTTTCCTCAACTGGAGATGCGGGTGGACAGTCCCGGGCCCACAAGCCACCGGGAAGGTTGGCGGGTGGCTCTCAGTCCCCGTTTTCCGGAGGAGGAATGTGGCTCCAAGGAGGAGTGACACCTACTGGCGGGCCCACGGCATGGGCCACCCGGGGGTGCAGCCACCTCTGCACAGGGGACGTAACAGGGACTTACCGCTGTAGGAGTCAGGCGGCCGGGAGAGGTCGGGGAGGGCCACGTGGTTGTGCACGAGGCCGCCACTGCTGGAGAGGCCGTCCTCCAAGTGGCTGCCGCCCACCTGTGGACGAGGGGGGTTATCAGTGCTGGCCTGGCCCCAGCCGACCCCCCGGCCTGCCCTCGCCCAGCACTCACCAGGCCAGCATGCCGCCCGCCCAGTGGCATGACAGCGCCAGCAAAGCCTGAGGCCAGCGGCCCGTGGCCAGGCAGCAGTCCGTGCACGTCCCCCGCTGTGCCCACGGCGTGGCTGCGGAGGACGTGGATGGCCTCGTCCAGGTGGTCCTCCATCTTGCTCTGCTGTGGGGTGGACAGGGGTGAGGGGCCTGGGCCGCCGGGACCCCATACAGCTGCCAACAGCATAGCTGCCCGTCGCGGGCCACAGGCCACGGCCACAGCTTTGGCCACCCACCAGCTTTGGACCCTATTCCCAACAAATTAGCTGAGAAGTTTAACCTGGTCAAGGGGCACCTGTCCTGTCGCACATTCTGCTGTTTCCATGACACCTGAGATCTCTTACAGCATGTGGCTCTGTGGCCATGGCAGACATGCGAAGCCACCCCTCACCCCAAACGGGTGTCCCTGTGTGTTCACAAGCACCTCTGCTCCCTGCGCTCCCACGAGGGTGCACCCTCCCCAGCCCCCAGGACACTCACCAGGCCGTGGAGACCCCCATCGTAGCTGGGCGATAAGGCACCGGGGGCTCCTGCTCGAGGCCACTGTGACGTCCCTGGAAGGGGCAGATGCGCGTGAGTGGGGGCGGGGGGGGGGTCGGTGCAGCCTGACCCAGGGAAGGAGAAAGGCTGGGCTGGGAGTCTGCGGCTGTGATGCCCAGACTGGCCACACAGGGGCTCCCATGCCCACAGGGCAGTCTAAGGGACCCACGTCTGAATCTCAGCCCAGCTGGCCCGACAGCTCTGCCAGGCTGGGGTGTGAACCCAGTGGGCAGGTCACATCTTTGAGCCTCAGTTTCTCCAACTGCAAAACCCACGGGGCAGGCGGCCCCTCCCAGTCCCGCCCCACCGGAGCCCCAGAGGCACCGTGCAGGCCTGTGTGCCCTCTGGAGACCGTGGCCCTCACTTCTCCACGGCCCCTCACTGAGTCCCGGGTGCACCCTCTTAGGGACAGGGGACCCGGCCCCCTTGGCAAAGCCAAACATGAGGCATACAGTAGGTGCCTAACAGCTTCTGGGGTGAACTAATGCCAACATGCCCACGTCCTGGAGTCCAGGCGGAAGCCTCGGGCCGGCTTCTCTGCTTCTTGGGCATCCCAGGCCCCCCCGCTGGATCCCACGTGCCCCTAACGCTCACAACGCGTGGCCTGCCGCATCGCGCCTCCTGACCTTTGCCTCTGCTGTGACCTAGGAGCATTGGCTTGGAAGCCCCCCATCCTCTAGGGAGCCCTCCCCGACGGCCATGGGAACGTGAGCTCTGAGGCATGTGGTCTGTCCAGCTCCCCGCCCACCCGGGGCTAGTCAGCAGACCCAGTCCCCTCCCCCAGCATGCTGCACAGACCTGCCAGGCCCTGTGGGGAGCCCACGGGGGTGGAGGGGCTGGATGAGAAGTTATTGCTTGACTGGTCTGGGGAGTAGATCTGTGACAGGGACAGGGAGAGAGAAAGGGCCACCACGTGGCCGGTCAGGAATCAGCCTCCTGGGTCACCGACCCAGCCACCCACCACGTGCCGAGTCTCACCGAGGCCAGCGCCTTCCCAAGGGCGTCCCCAGAGCTGCCGGCCGTGGTTCCACGGGAGCCTGTGGGTGGAGAGAGGTGAGGTCCAGCCTCTGGGATGCAGCAGCCCCAGCACCTGGGCCGGGCTTGCTCGCCCCGGCTGACGGGGAGCTCCCTTCTGCACGCAGCTGCCTGCACGGATGCCGCAGCCTGGCCCTGGGCAGCCCCGGTCTCAGTCGGGTGTCTCCTGACGCCTCACCATGTGCCTCCACAGTGCTCTGGGGACAGGCAGGCTGCGGGGCTCGGGGTGAGCAGCCCCCTCGCTGCACCTCAGTTTCCCCAAATGAACAGTGGGACCTACTCATCGAGGAACCACTTTGAAACGTCTGAGGGGTCCCGAGGAGCCCAAGCCAGGCAAGGGGGATGCGGTTAATGATGATACCCAGGGCTGGATCCTGAGCCCACCGGAGGTGTGGGGTGAGGGGGCCGTACCCAGGAGGCTGTCGGCCCCGCTGACGGGGGGTGTGTGGCTGGAGACGCTGCTGTAGGCGCCCGTGGGGGCCGAGGAAAAGGTGGACACAGCCGGGAGCCCCCCGTTCACCTCTGCTCCGTGCAGCTGGTAGCCCTGTGTGCAGGGGACGGGGTAGGAGGGGTCAGATGGGGCACTGCCCACACACCTCCCCCGCCCCGGCCACGGCCACCCCACGGGGCCTACCATGCGCTCGTGCTGGTGCAGGCCGCCAAACCCACCGCTGCTACTGCCGCCCACGGAGCTGCCGCCACCTGCCGGGAGGGGCAGGGGGGATGAGCCCCCGCCCAGCATGGGCCCGAAGCCCACCTGGCCTGGGGGGCTCCAGAGCTCGGCCGAGGGGTGCAGGCTGCCGTCTGCAGAGAGGGGAATGGTGAGGTGGGCGGGCAGAGGGAGCCCGGGCCCCGCCCCAGGCAACCCAGGCAAGCCCTCAAGTACCTGCCACGTAGAAGGAGGCAGGGTAGGTGCCGCTGGGGGTCTTGGTGGGTGGGTAGGCTGTGGTGCCCCTGCTGTAATCATCACCTGAGCTGGGTGGGTACACCTGCGCTGGGCCAGCGGGCAAGGTGAGGCAGGAGGGGCCAGGCGGGGTGGGGGCCGGCCAGCCCCCGCCTCACAGCTCCCCCTGCTGGGTCTCCCCCTCCACCTGGAGGGCTGTCCACCCCACCGCCCACTTCCCTGTGCTTCTCCAAACCTTCCCTCTAAAACCGCACCTCGGCCCCGCCTCTGAGGCTCTGCTCGTGTTACCACCTCTCTCTGCTGTTCCTACTTCACCCCCACCTGCTGCCCTCCCCACAGTCCCAGCCTTGCGCCTGAGGCCTCTGTAGACTGGACCCCCAGCCCAGACTGCCTTTTTCCTCCTTAATCCAGTAAACTCCTATTGATCCAGCAGAGCCCAGCTGTGCCGCCCCCAGCACTGGAACCTGCCTTAACCCCAGCCCTGATCACACAAGACCTGGGGGCCTCAGAGACAGGGTCCTGGGTGAATATTCTGCCCCAGCTGCCCCAGAGCAGTAAGACAGCAAAGGCTTTCAAGGATCAGCTCCGACCCTGATCGGCTGGGCACTGCAGGAAAGTGCTGGGGTCAACTGGCTACGTCTGCCCCGGCACTGGAGCAGAAAGCGGGGTTCAAGTGCCGAGAGATGGTAGGACAAGGTAGGCTCGGGGGCCTCTCAGCTCTGATGTTCCAGGACGTGACATCACGAGCTGAGTCTTACAACAGCCTCTGGGCCTACAGCCCGGTATGGGCCAGATCAGCCTCCGGGGCTCAGCACAGAAGGCAAGCAGAGAGGGTGGTGGCCGAGCCGGGGAGTCCAGCAAATTGCCTTTTCTCCCAACGTGATTAAGTCTCGGGAGCACGGTGCTGGGAGCCGCTGACGGCTCAGCACCATCTGCTGGGCCTGGCAGCCCGCCAGCCACCAGGCATGGGGTGAGGACAGAGGGCAGCTCTAAGCAGGGCGGATGGGGCCGGAAACCCTCTAACTGGCTGCCAGGATGCCCACCCACTCCCGCTTCCAGGACCCCGTTCACACCCTTTCTGAGGCGCCTCGGCCAGAGAAAACCACCTTCTCTTAAAGCAGGAGGGACCCAGGCTAGACCCAAGGAAGGACTTCCCGACTACCTCAGGGCTGGGGCCTCAGGGAAGAAGTCCAGCTGAGCCCATGGGGCTTTCATCAGACCCCACGCAGGGCCGGCCCACCCTCGGGAGGGGGTCACGAGAGACACTCGGCCTGTGGGGCCCGTTTGTCCCACAACTCACCGAGGATGGGAGACCCGGCGGCACTTTCCGGACTTTCTTGGGCTGCGTGTCTGTTGGGACAAGAGGAGTGAGCACCCCCGGCCAGGCTCCCGCCCTCACCACTGGGGCCCTTCCCGCTTGGACACTCCTGTCACTAGGGGGTGGGAGACAGTCCCACCCTGCAGCTCGGAGAAGAGACCCCCAAGCTCCCCTACTAAGAGAATGACTTAAACCAGTCTCAGGCCCATGTGGCGAACTCAGGGGGCAGGTGTGTGCCGGGAGCCGGGTTGCAGGGTTCATGGACACGGGAGCCGGTGCCTGCTCCGCGAGCCCCAGCTCCTGGCAGTCGCCCGGTCACCGAGTCCCGGACCTGCAAGCTCCCCCTCGCCGAAACTGCTAAGCCCCAACCCTGGCTTGGGTGCCTCCACGGTTGCCAGGTGCCGCTGGCCTTCCGGCTCCAGTGCGGCCCGGACGGAAAGCTGGGGTCCCGGTCCCACTCGCTGTGGGCCTGCGTTGGCACCTGTGTACTTCTGGGTGGGTGACTTTAGCATCACTAAGTCAAAGCAACCTCGCTAAACGAAGCGTCTTCCGACAGAACCGCACGGTGCGCAGGGTGTGTATGGCTGGGGAAACGACCAAGGGCTGTGGAACCCTCGCCGCACCCGACCTCACAGGACGCGACTACCAGGACCCACAGGGACCGCCGTCCCTGCCACCCCGCCACCGCCCCACTCACCCAGGCCGCCATCCGCAGCTCTCCGCCGAGGGTGACCGGAGTAGGAGTAATAGTGGGACCCGCCTTTGACGCCCGAGGGGGACAGTGGCCCCGGGCTGCTGAGGGCCAGCTCGCTGGGCAGGAAGCTGGCCTGAGGGAGGGGGAAGGTTAGCAGCTGGTCCCCTGCCCAGCCCCCAGGCCATTCTGGTTTAAAACAACAAAGGCAAGAGCGAGGGCCCAGGCCAATGGCAGGGTCCTGGGGTGACAGTGACCTGGGGCATAGGTCCCTCCCTGCTGACACCGCTGGCGTTTCTCTTATCTAGGATACCACCGATTCATTTTCATGAAGGAAAAAGAGGGAGAGAGACACACCGTCAAGCCTGAAGATGTGTTGCTGTCTGGGCGCTAAACGGGCACAACTATGCTTCAGATGTCAAGGGAATCTGTGTGTTTTACTTCGTACGTATCCCCCCCCCCTTTTTTTTCTTAAGGTAAATGGTTTAATCTCGCAGACATGCGTTTGAAATAGACTCTCTTCCCAGGAAAGCAACAACGACTGGGGTTCAAGGCGCAGTGCTGCAGCCTTGGCTTTCCTGTCTGTGCAATGGGCATGTCAGACGTTCCACGGCTCAGGGGCATCGTGGGGACAGATGGGGCCATGCAAGTTCTGCCCCTGGCCGATGACCTGGGGCCCCGCGGGCACTCAGTGGCTGTGACCTGGCTGAGGCCCAGTGTGCACACAGGCGGTGCTGCCTGCAGCAGGGCCTAGCTGCACCCTGAGGTTCCAGGACTGCAGGCAGGGAGTAAGGCCCTCGGGCGTGGGGCGGGAGAGAGACAGGTGGGGCAGGACAGGAGGCCACTAGGGACCACTGTGCCAGGCAACTGGCCCGTCAGCATCCCAGTGGGGTGGCCACGGGTGACAATCTCGCCCAGGCCGGGGACTGTGCCGAGGTTGGACCACAAGGCTGGGAGCACGGAGCGAGGGTCAGGCCTCGTCTGCCTGGCTGGCCTCGGTTTCCCTGTCTGCCACTTGGGGGCAGGCGGGCGGGCAGGTGTCTCCTGGAACCCCTTCAGCTGTGCACAGGGCCCCACAGGCTGGACCCCAGCCTCCCCTTTCCCCATCGACAACCCACCCGGCCTGACCCAAGGACCGGGCCTGTTTCAGCGGCTGCTGGAGAGTGACCAGCACCTGGCTGAGCCTTCCCAGATCAGGAGGCAATTGGGACGAATTTGTTTCAAATTAAAACTAGGGAATACAAGGTGGGGTGAGAAGTCAAGCGGTGACTATGGCCCCCACTGGGAACCTCCCATCCCTAACCACCTGCGCTGCCCCCTAGTCTGGAGACGGGGGCTCTCCAGGCTCCAAGGGCCACTGGGGGCCGACGGGACCCACGCCCTCCCCTGCCCACCCTGCAGATGCAGCCTCACCTGAGTCAGGCTGCCGACCCCTGCGTCTCTCCCAAAGGGGGTGTACGCGCCCCGCTCGCCGCCCTTGCCTGTGGAAAAGGAAGGAGGGTCACCCAGAGCTGACCCAGAGGCCGGCACATGCCCGCATACAGCAGGCGCTCCACAAGTGCACAACACTGAAAACCGTGGTGGGACACTGGTCTCCCCATCAAGTGGCGAGGGGCTGAGGGACAAGTGGGGTTCCAGCCAGACGCTATCCCCAGATGACCCGCAGAGGATTCTGCAAACCCGCCAGGGCCCCCATGTGCCCCATCCCCAGAGCGGGACAGCACCGACTCGGCTCCCCACCCCTGCCCTTCTCGAGCTTTGGTTTCCTCTGTTCAAGGTCATGAGGTGTCAACTCCCCAGGGTGCTGGGTTCCCAGGGGACAGGTCGAGGTCCCTGGTATCTTGCAAGTTTCAGCACCCAGGCCCTGGGCTCCTTCCCCAGCTCCTGGACAGGGTCAGCTCACGAACAAGCATGTGACATCGCTGGGGATGCTGATTCAAGCCACTCAGTGCGAAGGAGCCCTTCCTCTGTGTGGGTGGGCAAGACCGAGCTGTGGGGGGACAGCCTGCCCGAGAGAGCAGCTGGTATGAACAGACTCCTGCAGCTACACAAACACCTGGATCCAGCCTCGCCTGAAGCAGGTCCCTGGATCCATCAGTACTTGAACAATTTCTGTTTGTTTCTGGCTTCAGCTGGGCACCTATCCGGACTGAGGGCGGACCTTAACCAGCCTTACCGTGAGCAAGAAATCAAAATGCTTGACTGACTAATTTGGTTTATTCTCAAACTGGGCAGGGGGGGTGGGGGAATTCTCCCCTTTATCCATTTATTTTTTGAATATTTTTACTTATTTTTTGGCCACGCTGCGCAGCTTGTGGGACCTCAGTTCCTCGACCAGGGATCAAACCTGTGCCCTCGGCTGTGAAAGTGCCGAGTCCTAACCACTGGACCACCAGTAAATTCCCTCTCCCCTTGATTTTAAAAGGACAATTTCAAGTGGACTCTTGGAGCAAATGCTGTTTAGGGGGCAGGGAGAAGGACCACGCTCCTACCAACACAGCAGATGCCCCACAGGCCACGCCCACCAGCTCAATCTCAGGGCAGGCGACACGGGGCCCATTTAGGGATGAACAAACCACAGCCTGGAGGCCAGAGGGACTCGCCCCCAGTCCAGAGGGTGCACTCCTCCCTCCCTTCCCAGGGTGGCCGTGGGAAGCAAAGCTGGCCGGCCCAGCCAGGGCTCTGGGCTCCCCACTGCAGGGTGGGGCTGCTGTGGTTTGACCCTGCGTACAGCAGGCACCAAGCAGGGGCATCCTGAAAGGAAGGCTGAGGGAGGCAAGGAGAGAAAGCAGAGGTTCTGGGAGGGGACCTGCGAGATCCACGAGCCCTGTGGGTATACAGCAGGTGCCCAAGCCATGCACCGGGCCTGGGCATCAGGGTATGAGAGGGGGAAGGAGGACAGACACCAAGAGCAGACCCACCAGGTCTCATCGAGGAGCTGGACCAGGTTGGGGGCCCCACGGGAACAGAGCGACCCTCGCCCCCTGGGCCTGGCACTCACCGCCCGCTGCCCCACCATGGCTATCGCCAGCCCCAGTCCACAGGCAAGAAAACCAGGGCCCAGGGAGGCCGAAACTGCGCCCACCTCCCCACTGTCTCACTGGGCCTGGCCTGGGCTCCCTGCTGCACTCTCTGAGCTCCTCGGCCACTGGGGCGTGTGGCGGGTGTGTGACACAGCTGGGCTCTGGGCCCTGCTGACCAGGCCCGGCCGTGGGAACTGCCCGTGCCAGGAAGAAGCCGGAGGAAGGAACAGCAGAGGGGAACTGGTGTCGTGGCAGGTGCAGAGGCCACCCGGCCAGCCCTCACCTCACGGTCTGGGAGATGCACACAGACTCCCGCTAGACACAGTGGGTGCCGGACACTGTGTTCCCCCTTCCTGCCTGGGACTGCACCCAGGCCATGCTCGCCCGTCTGGCTCCTTCCATGCGCCAGTCCACAAGGGCTGGACCCCAGGCCCTCCGGCCTTGGCTGCCCCACTGGTTGGTTGGGCCCGGCAACAAGAGTTCACCCACCTCCCCCAGCAGCCACCAACCCCGCCGCCATGCACCTCGGCCTGGGAACCGCTGGGGACGGTGCCAAAGGAGCCTACCTCACCTGGCTGTCATGTGCAAGGACCTCGTGTCTCAGGAGCACCAGGAGTGCGCAGCCCAGGCCCTGAGGCGGGAGCTGACTCACCCCCCGGCCCCTTTCAACCTCCAGAGATGCCAGCTTGGCAGTCACCCCAACACTCCCTCAGAACAGGGAGGGCCCAGGCTCAGCAGGGCCAGCGCTTGGACACCCAACCAGGGCCTGAGAGTCCCAGAGGCCGGGTCCCTTCTCGCTGAGCCTCAGTCTGCTGCTCATCTGCGAGATGGGGGTGGGCCTTCGGGCCTAGGGAGCCAGGTGAGTCCTTACCACTGGCTACGCAGAAGGCTCTGAGAATCCCCATCCCCGCAGGTCGGGAAACTGGGGCTAGAGAGGGGACCCTCACCCAGGTCCCGATGCTGATTCTCACGGTCAGGATGCCGGTGCTCTGGGGAGAGCAGGAGAGGGGGCCGGCCTCAGACTCGGCCTCCCCAGGTTGTCGGGACTCCGGAGTCCACTTCCCGGCAGGCACCTGGCTGGTCCCCACCTGTGTCCTCTGCTCTGGGTGGCCATCCCGGAAGCCCCGGTGCTCGAGGACCGAGTGGGCATGGGGGGTGGGGGCAGGGACCACGTGGACACTCACCTCCGAGCCCAGGTCCCAGGAATGTGGATGAAGCGAGGGTGCCGTGGGACTCACTGAAGTGGGCGCCATCACCGTAGGTCTGTAGAGGGGACGGGCAGGGATGAGGGAGGCTCAGGGACACCTCTGGGTCAGGATGTGACCGCGCCACAAAGCACCTGCAGGCCAGGCCGGGGTTCTCCTCGCGCTCGCCCACCCCCACCCCAGGGTCTCAGGCCTCCAGGGGCTCCTCACCCGGCTGGGGTCGAAGGAGGAACTGTTCTGCTCGCCAGTGCCCCACGAGCCCGAACTGGGCCGGTCCTCGAGACCTGTAGGGCAGGAAGGCAGGGTTAGGGACCCGGCCCCTGGCCGCTCCACACCAGCCGCATTGCCTCGGGGAGCCCTCACTCGACCTGGGAAGCTTTCCAGGCCCCTCCCGACCCAGCCTGTGCTGGAACCCGTCCAGATGCACCCACCCTAGCACTACCCATGGTGACACCACTGCCAGCGGCAAGCACCCCGGACACACCGGCACTAAGCAGACCTCTGGGTCCACGGCCCAAGAAACAATTCCACCACCAGCTGCTGGCAAACTTGCCATTGCTGCTGGCACACTTCTACCCACCCGTCCAGCTCCCAGCCCACCCTGGACGGAGCCCTCACTTGCACTCTGGGCTTCCCTCCCCAGGCCCAAGTCCCTCCCTCTGGCCCAGGCTCATGAAGGCGTCAGGGAATGGGAATGAAGGATATCTCTGATCTCGAGAGTGGGAGCCTCCCCCTTCCCATCTCTGGCAATTCGAGAGGCGGGGCTGTCCCTTTGTTGAAGTAACAGCGGCAGCTGCCGCAGACTACCCGCCAGGCACAGGCTGGCGGCAGGGAAGGAGAAATCCAATCCGGTAAGATAGGCGGGGCCCGGGGGGGGGGGGGGGCCCAGGTGGGGCAGGGTTAGCCACCGTGGGGACAAGGACCTTGGATGGACGGTGGGCAGGGCAGGGCCCTTATCTCCCTGAACACTCGCCCAGGGGCCCAGCCCAGGACCCGGATCTTCCCAGCAGGCAGGCACACGGGCCTGCACCCTTCCCGGGCGCGTGGGCTCCAACACCGTCCATCAAGGGCCACGGGGCTCAGGGCCTGCACAAGCAGAACGGGAGCAGTCCCCGGGCCCCGCCCACCTGTGCCTCAGTTTCCCTGCTCTTCGGATGGGGTCACAAACACGCCCTACTTTGCAGGGCTGGGGGTGTCCACGTACGAGTCTGAGTCAAAGCTGCCCAGGCCAGGCTGAGCAAGAGAGGCCGTGCCCAGTCCTGCCATCTGTGCCAGGGGACGTGCCCCACCCCACCCCCGACCCCACGTGGTGGACATCCTGAACACCCCAGCCGGAATCCTTCACCCCGCCCTCCTCTGCGCATCTGTACCAGAAATTTCTTTCAAATTGCATCCTTCTCTTTTGGTGCCTCTGAGTTAATCATTCCCCTGGGGAGTTGGTGTTTAATTGCTGTCTGATTTGCATAACTATGCATATTAATCTCCCAGTCTGATAAATATTCATATACCTCGGTTAGATTCTGTTTTCTAATCAAAAATTTCCAATGCGGAGCCGGGGGCTGCCTTGGCGGGCAGGGGGTCAGACGGAGCTCCCATGGTCTCCACAAATCCATCTAACATGTGCCGCCAGGTTTGGGGTGTCTGCACCCCAAGGTCCTGAGTCCCCACTTGGGCTTTGGGGACGAGATCAGCTGGTGAAGGGGGGTGACCCTGGTAGAAGGGCCAGCACCCGAGCCCCCGTTTCCCTCCACGGCCACTTACTTGTCATCCCCTCGGCTCTCCGGTGCCCGCCCATGAGCTCGTTCCGCTCTGGGTCCCCCACCCCCATGGGCATCCACCACGGGCCCCAGAGTCGCCAGGACCCTTGAGCAAGAGAGCAGGAGGCCAGGTCCAAGGCCAAAGCCAGGCCTTCCCACCCCCCTACCCCACCACCGAGGGCTGGCAGGGTGACGGGCGCTCCTGAGGCTGACACCCAGGGACCCCTAGAACTTGGGCCCCACAAGCTTCAGGTAGAGGCAACCAGGCCCTGCTCTGCCCTTTCTGGTAAAACCCCCCTCACCCAGCCCCAGCCTCCCCGCTGTTGGAGACCAGACGACAGAAAGAGGGATGGGCCCTCCCCCACGGCTACCATTAATAGTTATTAACCCCCCACTGGTTAATTATGCATTTTAAATAACCCAATCATGAATATTCATAACATCTCTTATTCACGTTCTAATTAAAATGTACTAATAGAATGAGATGTTGCTGTCGCAACATAATTTTTTTTTTTGAAGTGCTGGAGGTGAAGCGGTGGCAGGGCAGCCCCCGGAAAGGTCATCTCTCTGCTCAGACCCAGCCCTGCCCCCAGGAAGAGGTGGGAGATGGACAAGCAGAGGGCTGCGTGTGCCCAAGGGCACCACCCGCCCCTCGGAGTTTCAGATCTGATCCGAGTCAGCCTGGGTGACAGAACGGCCCACCGTGAGGGCTGCCGCCAGGATGACCAGTGTGGCACAGCTGGACGCGCCCAGCCCGGGCTCCAGCCGGACACCCCCTTGGCTGGATGACATGGGGGGGCAGGCCCCTCTGAGGGGCCTCCGCCCCGGCTGGTTCCTCCAGGGCAGGTGTGCCAACTGTGACTGGACCAAGTCTGGCCCTTGCCTACTTTTGTCAGTAAAGTTTTATTGGCGCATGGCCACGGACGTTTGTTCCCTGTATACAGCGGTGTTGGTTACAATGCAGAGATCAGTTGCGATAGAAGCTGTCTGGCCCTTCACAGGGAAGGTCTGCTGACCCAGGCACGGAGAAGATTCCGGGAGCCAGTCCCTCCGTATGAAGTAGCCAGACTACCAGACTTCAGCACCTCGAGTGTGGAGAAGACGTGGTCACAGGGCCTACGCATGGCCCTGCATCGTCCCCACCACAAACGTGTCGCGTAGCCATGGTCGTCAGGGGCTTCGTGCTGCAGCCCCAGCTCTGTCAGCAACCCCCCACCCGGGTGCCCGGGCTAAATCCCAGGAGCCGTCCTCTCCCCTTCCCTCACTCCACTGCCCCCCACCCGTGGTCTCGGATCAGAGCCTGGCTCGGCCCTGTGTCCCCTGGGTCAAGCCCCATCCGTACAGCAGTGTCCCCCCCACCCCAGGTTCCCTGCCCACACTCCACCCCAAGCAGCCTGATGGAGCTTCTGGAAGCAAAACCTGCCTCTCCTCCCTCCCTCTAGACTCTCCCATGGCTCCCCACTACCCTCAGGGTAAAGATTAGACCCCTCCCTGACTGCCCTTCGCCCCCAGCTCACTCTTCCCTGCCCAACAAGTAAGCAGATCCCCAACCCCGACCCAAGCTCTGCCCCAGTGGTCCCCACACCTTCATCGCCCGTCAGGGAGGTTGCCTTGCTGGCCCCCTGTCCCCAGCATTGCCTGAACAGGGCTGGCCCCCAAACAACCTCGACAAATATCTGTTTTTGGCCTCTTCATTGCTCTGATAATTATCTAACCAATCACAATGTCCTCCGGCGGTGCCATCCTCCTGCAGTCACAGGCAGCTACTACGGGACTGGCGGAAAGAGCTCCCCACTTGACGAGATGTTAATTAACGCACGAGTAGATGACCCTGTGTGGCTAAGCGGCTGCTGTGCTGGATGTGTGGCCCCCCCAAGTAAAGACTAAAGTAGCCACAGCAATAAAAATAACCACCATGCACCATGATCACATCTGAGAAAAAATTAACAGCACCTGAGAGCAGCCGTCTGCCGGTCCTCACGTAAGTGTTTCCTTCCTGCCACTAGCAGCTCCCCAAGGCTGTCAGCTCCCCCTCTGGCTTTTCCCCCTTAGAATTAAAATCCCCGAGAAACGGGATGGTGAGAAACGGGATGGTGGCCTGTTCGGCAGCACCTGGGGTCTCATGAGGGGCAAGCCCAACACAGGTGTGAGTCAGGAGAAAGTCCTTCCTCAAGTGGGCCGGTGGGGTCCTCACCTCTCTTCCTGTGATGTTTGGGGCAACTTCTGAACTCTTACATCACTTCAGACTTGAAGGAAAGCTGCGGGGAGATGCACGACATGCCCCAGGCCCTCTCATGGCTTATATGCGCCCCCTTTTTCATTCGCCCCTCTGTGTTCACAAGCAGCTACGCTTGTCTCTGGCCTTCAGAGTTTCAAAAGTTGCTAGGAATTCCAGGGCGCCAGGGAGCTCCCGCCAGAGGGAGCAGGTTCCAAGTGGCTGGAGGAAAAGTGCCGGAGCGGCTCACAGCCCTTGCCGTTCCTGCCCCTGAAAGTGGGGGTGGGGAGACAGGGGACCTGGAGCTGCGCCCAAGCAAGCGGATCTGAGGCTGGAGAGGAAGTGAGTGGAGGGCACAGCCCACCATTTCCAAGAGCAGATGGTCCCCCAAACCAGGGCCTGGCTCCAACCCAACCTCTCCTGAACCCCCGGAGCAGCAACCCCCAACCCCAGAGGCTTCCCCAATGGGCAGAGCTGGTCCTCAGGTGGGGGGCCCACAGATGCGTGGTAATTCAGAGGAAACGGGGTCCCCCAGCTGCAGAAACTGCCCTGCCCCCTCCCTCCTGTGAATTTCAGATTCGTGACCAAAGCAACAGCAGAAAGACCCCATCCTGCTTCAGTCTCAAGGGGAACCCCTCTGTCCAATGGCGAGGTTGGGAGGATCTCGCCCACCCCACCGCTCAGCCAAGTATGAGCTCAGAATCCCAGCTGGGACCTCCCTGCAAGAAACAGGCCCAGGGCGAAACAAGCGCGGAACACAGAAGACGGACATTCACAGATTTAGGATTTATCCCAGAAGCATATCTAAGACCACCACCATGCGCTCTCAAGGCAACTGCAGAGCTTGTGGGTGCCATAGAATAGAAGGAAGATAAGGCTTCAGGGAGAGAGTAAGAGCCAAAGCAGGAAAAACTAAGAAGTTTCTGCTGCCAATTCACAAGAGATTTTAAAAGCAGCGTCAGGGGCTTCCCTGGTGGTGCAGTGGTTGAGAGTCCGCCTGCCGATGCAGGGGACGCGGGTTCGTGCCCCGGTCCGGGAGGATCCCACATGCCGCGGAGCGGCTGGGCCCGTGAGCCATGGCCGCTGAGCCTGCGCGTCCGGAGCCTGTGCTCCGCAACGGGAGAGGCCGCGGCAGTGAGAGGCCTGCGTACTGAAAAAAAAAAAAAAAAAAAAAAGCAGCTTCAGAGGCGGCGAGGCAGAAGTGACAATGCAGAAGAGGTGATCGAACAGAAGGGTGGGTTCTGGAGACGGCCCCAAACACCAGGGAAGGGGGGATTCTGAGAAAACAGACACGAGGGCCTAACACGAGCCC